TCATTAACGTCAAGGTCAGCGGACGAACGAGGAGGTCCTCCTCTATCATTGTCTATAAAAATGTTACGAAGCTATTGAAATAGTTTGTATTTTAAGAATAGGCTTTTTGTCGTTTTGGTCCGACTTCTGATTGTGTTCAATTCTCCTAATACTGGACAGATTCGTAATGTCCTTAGCGGGTCGCTAAGGCCGTTTAGCTACGCCTGAGGCTGTTCGGTCCTTTAAGAAACATTTTCTTCTAGGCCAAAGATCTGGGCCCAACCTAGAGATCACGCTAACCAGCGTACAAAGCTAGGAGAACGACGTCGGCTGGTTTGCATGCTCGTTGAATCTGCAATAGCCTTGTTTGAGAAGGTAAGCTCCTCGCCCCCCACTTTGAAGGTAACTATGTGGTGGTTTTTCAATGGACGAGTTGAGCAGCTGGGCGCTTGTTCCTGACCTTACCCATGGCGTCGAATGAGAATGACACCTAACATTTTGAAAGAGCACAGGAACAACTTGTTGTCAGTGGTTCAGTCCAAAGAAATGATTTTTGTTCCTACACTCATTCCTATAACATTAATATGTGACAATAGTATCTCAGACACGCTGCAACAGGTACACATAACCGCTTGAATGGTAACAAAAGATAATCAAGGCAATATCTAAGATACCATTACGCATACATCTATAAATGACTAATATGTATCAGACAACAAAACAGCTCTAGACATTAATTTTCGCGGGTATCGAATCGATCTTCATGTCTGTCAAGCATTTTCATTCTTGCTTACTAGGAAGAGTTGCAGTGGCTTATTGGTTGGCAAAATAGGAAAGTTGGCTAATCTTTAAAAGGTTGATAATGTGACTCTAGGATTGGGGTAAATCCGACCAGTCAAAATAAATTGACGAATATTTTTGACGCCAAGTGAGCCTTTCAGCGACTTCAATCAGTGACAACAAAAACCCGGACAAATAACCCCACAAACTGCACTCCCCACAATACACCCCACAACACTAACAGATTATCATACTTGGAGTGCTTGGAATATTGCTAAAGCCTCTCAAAGACGCGAGATTGACAGTAAAAAGCATGAATATATCCAAATTTGTTTGTTAAGTTTTGCGGAAACGTAAATGACAATTCTGCGCGCCATATTGTGGTTATAACATATAATGAATAATGTTATTATAGGAGATAATAACTATGTACTGATATATTTGTCATAGGTGATAATAACTTCTATCCAGTGGTTATACATACAGACTAGTTCGATCTCATCCGCTCAAGTTCTTCTTTGTTTCGCGAATGACAATGGTGCATTTCTAAACGTGTGTCCATGAGTTGTAAGTGATATACCTGAAGGAAGACTTCATTCTCGTAGTGATGGCCTATATTGATGCTAGCTTAAAGGAGGCATTTGTGAAATACTGATGGGTCTAGTCTGGGAATAGACGTACATACCTCGTGTCAGAAAGTAGCCGTCCGAATCAATGTAAGTGAAGTCTCAGACGTGAAACTGGAAACGCATCGTTTTTATGTGCAGTACTTAAATAGAAAATTAGAGCTGGCAAAGGGAATCGCAGAACGCCGACTGCCTTAGGTTGCACACAACGATGGAAGCCTGCGGTTCTGATCTGTCCGATTGGCACGCGTTATAATGAACTTTAGCTTTGTTTACGTAATTCAAATGCAAAGCTACCAACACGTGCGGTCAATAAAATCGCTCCCACGTAGCATAGAGTATTTATAACAGGAATGATAAGTAAATACATTGTCCAATTAAGTGGGGAAATCAGCATACTGAGCGATCCGTGAATGGGAAGAGCATGGAAGGTTTACGGAGAGCCTGCGTTCTTCTTAGGATTATTGTATATGGAGAATGACAGGTCGTCTACAAGTTAAACGGGCACGGGGGGACGCTGCCCGTTGCGACTCAGTACTGCTATAACACAGGGCTTATAGCACGCAAAAGTTAACTGTTGAGTACTTCAATGTAGATGAGGCAGCAGGCTTTTCAGGTCAAGGTTAGTCTATAATAAAATACATCATATGTCAGTGTTCTTCAGATCCTCAAAGGTGAATCAGGATATCTACGGTATATAGATACCGGCATTTTCCTGCTATCGATATCACGCATGATAAGATAAATGACTAACGCTTTTCTAGCACCCTTACGAAAAACCGAAGGCGATTAAAAGATGTAGCCCAAAGAATCTAACAAGATTTCTGAAGGTAGTAATAGTAAATAATAAAATTTGACATTTTGTAATGTTTGATCTCACACTGTGTGCTTTCTCTCTCCTTCTTCTCTCTCTCTCTCTCTCTCTCTCGTATATATATATATATATATATAGTTAACTGGAATAGACAGAGTATTGAAAAATGCGAAGGCAGTAGAGGGTAAAATATAATCACGAATGGCAGCAGCAGCAGCAGCAGTAGACACAGGTACGACGAATAAGATGACTGTTTGTTGGTGTACACAAAAGCAGTTGACATGAAGCATAAAAAGTAAGTGGCAGTATGAAATGTCGAGTCGCCATATATAGAGACGTATAAAAGAAAACGTAAGATCAGAACAATAGAGGTCGCTTGTGTCGTAAAATGACGATTACGTTCCACCTGACAAAACAAAAACGCAGCGAAACTACACAGGATGAAAAAACAGAACATAAAATAGAAAATCGATAAGGGACTTTGAAACACTTTGTAGTTAGTCCTATTTCTAGCTAATAATAATCATCACAAAATGATAATGGCTATAGAATAGGCACACTGTTTTTTTTTTGTTTGAAAACAGACGTAACACTGTTCGAATATACCACAAAACATATTTCATAGCTAGAAGCAATCGTTTCCCGCAGAACAAGCGCATACGAATCGGCCGATTTCGTTGGTAAGTTAGGTTCAATCGGCATAGAGAGAAAGAAATCGGTCGATGGAGATAGTACATGTACGTATTTAAGCAAAAAAAAAATAGGCTTTCGACAGCGTACAAAGCAGCGTGGCAGTACAAACTATACCTGTCTTTTAATATGATATGATAACATACATTTCTCACTTGTCTCAAAGGTAGTTACCGCTGACAGCGTACCTTTTCGAAACGATAATAGGAAACTTGGAGAGGATTTGTTGTTATCATACCTATACGTAATTACGTGGACCGTTGTTCATTAAGTTCTAGTGACGTATGTAACTTTGTTACGATTTTGACGCTCTAAAAGAATCTGTCGTAAAGTTGGCGTTGAGCAAATTGGATGCAATTCATGTCGCTATAGATATATTCAGATTCTATGTCTCTATAGGAAAAATTCACACGAAATAAAATCTCTGTTTGCATAGGAAAATTCATAAGGGCTCTATTTGATAGAGTAACATTGATTGGAAGGAATCGATAGAGGTGTTGGTGACGAAACAAAATCATAAATAGCCCGCACGCCGAGCAGAGTCCTTCCGAAGGCCGTTATAGTGCACACTTGATTCAATATCGATCCGTTTCGAGGCTTTGTAGATTCAACAAAATATAGTATTGCGTTTAATCGCTTCCCAAACTTTTATTGCTCTGCCAGCGGGTCTGCTTTTAACATATGAGAACTACGAGGGGTAGTTTATTTTCCGCCTCCGTATAGCTGGCTCTATGACGTATTGGCTTGTCCATCGGTTGGTTATTCTGCCTAGATGACCATAAATCATAAACCTTAGAAATTCTACAGTAATGGAACTATGGTATTGGCAGAAAACTAGCACAAGATCGAAAGTGGTCGAAATGGCGCGTAAGAATACGAAAAGTGTTTGCTTCGGTCCATTTGCAACAATAACTTCACAGTAATCACCGGGTTGTAGCAGCGAAATCAAATTGTTAAAAGAACCGATGTGCGAATACGCTATGTCACTGTCTTGAACTTACACTGACCAAGTTACGGACACAGTGCGACATACGGCGCTCGGTCACTGAAAACTATTATACTTACCATGACAGTGAGGAAAAATGCGGCCAAAGATTTCATAGCGTTGTATGCCGTTCACGGACTGAGATTGCCGACAGCTTAATGCTACAGCTATGTTCAATTTGCTTTAAGCCAGACCTGAGCTAATATGGCGGCGCATCTCGGTCGCTGAAAAAGAAATCTCTAACCTCGGCTAGCAGGCCCACTCGCTAACGGTTGCAAGCTGCTCGACGGAGTGGTGCCGCTCAATAAGGAACCGGTATGAAGAAACTTTGACAATGATCTGGTGTAAAAGTCTGGTTCTGTACTGGTGTAAAAGTACTGGTGTAAAAAAGAGGTACGACGAGCTAGAAATAATAGGAAGCGTCGGAACTGGGTTCAGTGCCTTTCAGGAAGTCAGAAAGCGTCATTTGCACTTTTAGGACCAAGTTAGTGTAGTTATGACGACTTTTGCTATGAAGAGATAAAGCGATAAGATCTCGGATCTGGATTGTTTTATTATTCTCCTTTTTAAAATCGAATTACTCGACGGCGTCTAGGTAGAGAAAAAGCACCAGTATGAATAATTACTCATTAATAAAACTTATTCGAGTACCGTAAATTGCACAGGAAACCGCATAGATTCAGACACAATGAAGATACTAATTTAAATATTTCTCTTCGGCTCCATAAAGAAGTTTTTCACAAAAAATTTACTTAGTTAAACATGGGCAAAAAAAATGAACAATAAAAAGTTTCCATTATCACACTTTGCCCCATAACTTGCTAGCTTGGATTTGATAAACAAGGTTCTAAGAAATACATGCAACCTTTCTCGAAAATGTTACGTGACTATAAAAAATTACGGACAGAACAGCTCGCACCTGATTTCCTGCTTACTTTAAGTTTACTTTGCTTATTTTTATAAGGTCTAACAGAAAAAAAAAAAGAAAAGATGACTAGTTTTGACACAATCAAAGATAGCAAAAAATGATACTCACGTATTTTTTGCGCGGGGTGGCATTTTATTTTTAATGGAAAAACACAACGAAGCCCTAGTCGTTGGTGGGATTAATTCACTTCAATGATTCGTCCGTATTCAGGAATCTCATTCGTAGATTTAACTCTTGGCCTATCGAGTGTACCCTTCACAGCCGGATAACCTGTAAATTAGTAAGTAATTTCGGTAACATGCGCTTGAGTCCCACAACTAAGATCGTCTTTTTTCCTTTTTAAATATTCATTACTAAAGTTGGCCAGAACTTGCTTAGAAGTGTTCTAAACCTCAGACAGGCGCCAGCGTCGGCATCCGTACAGAGGTCTACTTGACGCGACATTATGGATCCCAGATCCTAGCCTACACTAAAGGAAGTGTTGGCAGTTTAACTTAGACAGTTTTGCAATTCGCAAACAACTTTGAACTCTATTGCTTTATGACAGGACATTAGAGGGGCTACTACAAGGCTATGGTGACAAGCATGTATTTATCTGGTGTGAACTTTTTATTTTTTATGTTTTTATTTTACTTAACGTACCGTTTGTTTTACAGGTGCAAGCACGCTAATTTCAAGCAGTAGCATGTATAAATTTCTTAGGACCGATGATGCTGTAAACTTCTTGAAGGACTAAAAAAATACCTTTAAGTAACATCGTTTCAGCAATCTACAGGTATAATAGCATTCTGAACGAAGGCTCTAGAAAACGTCTATCTGATAGCTTATACTGCTATAGATTTTATAACTAACGTAAATGGCAATATAGAAAATGCCAAAATTATGTACGTGCGTGCAATGCTTTGATGCCATGCCTTTTGTATGATCTTAGAAACGAAACACATGCATATAATCGGGCAATTATGAAAAAAGTTTTACAAACTGAATATAAGATCTTAGACTTCCATCGATTTGAAGTAAATTTATGTATATTTTTATCTTTTTTACCTTTATGTATTTAAAAATAAAAAAATGCATGTATCCATATGTCATTGTATCAAAGGTTTAGATGAATGCTAGGAGGTGGCTAAGCTTAACGCTCCCTATTACCACACAGCGTTTGCCTAATTAAAAAAAAACACCGAGCTACAACCCTAATAGATATATTTTTCTAATCTAAGTATTTAATGATAAATATCAATCTAATTAATTGAGGTAGGTGAAATTTTCCATGTGTGTTGTGCCAGTCACCAGATTATACAGATTGGCTTTTAATTAATGAGCTTACAAGATAACCAACGGCAAATGGCCTCAAAAAGATCGAAATTTAATAGTGAACAGCTTGAAGCGTTTGATCATTTAAAATCGATGAAAAATGCGTTTAAAAAAACAATTTTAAAAACGTATACGCTACCAAGAGCACCGTATACATGATATTGACCAAACCTAACCCTTTTCCGTAAATGCCATCATCGCTAGACTTATTAAATCTTATTTCTCTTTCATTTTTATATTTCCAGATAAAAATTAAAGTTAAGTGACAAATAGTTAAAAGTTGAAGGTATTCATTCAAGCAATGAACTGTCAAGTGTTACGAAAGACGCAAAGTATTAACGTATAGTATTGCTACGTTCTACGATGCCTTTTGAGGTATTGGTCTCAGTCGCGTTCAGCTTCAGTCCGCTGCTTACGTTGAATTACCGAAGTTATCCTATAGTACTTTATCTGGCACCATATGCGCGATTATTAGCAGAAATTCTACCATATCGTGCGTAAAGGCAGTAACAACGTATTATGCGTAGAGGGTTGAAATTTATCTCAGTTCGAAGCAGACATACAATGTACAATGAACGTTTTTTTTTTGAAAATAGAGTAACTTCTTCATTTCGAAATGGGGGTAAATTACTTGCTGTGAAATACAGCTTTTTTTCACTGCTGGCGATACAATGAGCCTCTACCTACAGGGTTAAGTGGCCGATATCTGCGAATCATGGACCCCGTTTTAAAACGCTCGCCGTTTTAACCTATACGACACAAATTTTATTCCTAGCTCACAATGAAATAGGTGCATCACGACCAAACAATAATTTTGTCTGTTTAACAAGCGTAAGTTGTGTGAAAGTTTATACAATTGGCAAGGGGGTCCTGCCCTTATCCTCGTTATTGGAAAATTCTCGTACGTTAGTTTGAAACGTACTGCGAGTAGTAGATTAGAATCAAAGTATTCTATCATCAATTCCCTTTTTTTTTTTTTTTTAACAGATAGCCGAATTCAAAGTAAGCTAGTAATAAGCCGAATTGATTACTTCTGTTTACAGAGCAGAATCTATCAACTTGATCGGGTAGTATATTTAATAGTTAAATGTCCTTAGCGTCAAATTGAAATTTAGTTATTAATTGTTTCTTAATAGGACTATTTGCACAAACGCTGCTATGCATTTTCTTATATGCCAAATTAGAATGTTTTCATGTTCTCTGCTATCCAGGTTGACTATTCTTTGCAGACGCATTAATGTCTTACACATATAATCGTGTCCGCAACGCCAAGGCTATCTGGCTACAAGGCAAGAAAATAATACTATTACATAGAGCTATTGAATAGGCCTTTCAAGGTGTACATCCGCATAGACAGGTGGTTTTAGGCTTCTCAGTGATCTGATACATACAGATTAGCGGGCACCTACCAAACACCAGAACAATAGGTGAACTGGGCGCGCATTGCAGTTAGAAATCCCACTTTATCGTAGCAAGTAGCTAGAAATTAAGTCCGATGACAAAAGCCCGACGAGTATCTTACACGACCGTTACGCACGAGTATCTTGAAGTACCACTTTGGAAGAGCACAAGTTCCATCACAAAACGTGCTTTCCGCAACGATCATTAGGCGTGAAATAATTGGGAAGGATTTGTGCAAACAAACTAGGGATAGCTGGTGTAGTTCAATAACAATCCGACTCGAGTCTATTTTGAGATGAGGCGGAATTGCGACCCCTCACCCCTCAAGCAAAGATCGAAAGAACAGTAACCATAGTGAAATTTAAGGACTGCTTAAATAGCTGACAACGTCTTTGTTATAGACATGTAAGGGTTGATAAGCGGTAATAGAATTTGGATTCGTGCATATATCAAACAATTTAAAGGCGGTTCATGGCTACAGCAGTGGATACCCTTTGGATAGTTGATAAGTCACATAAGATGTAACGACACTTCAATAGTTCTAAGCGAATGATAGAAGTTACCTGTTAAGTACAATGTACATTTACATAGAATAAAATGGATCTGTAATCCCTACGTAATCCAGTTTATTGTTTAAGCAAGGATCACGCATAGCCTTTATCAGCAAAGCAATAAGGGGCGTGGTTTATTCTTTTAGAATTTCAAAAGTTCAGTACTCTTCATACTGATGAAGAGAACTTTTAGCACGTTTCTTATATTCGTTTAATTGCAACTTTTGAACTTCAGCAACCTCACCATTTTCACTGTTTACTATATCAAGTCATTGATCCTCACAGTAGTCAATTAAAATGACTAAAATTTAAGTTATCTGAAAATAATGAAAAACGGATCTATATAGGTATGCCTGACTTCAAGTAACTTTTTTTCTAATTCATAGAAATAGTAGTAGTAGTAATAATAATTATGTAAGCATAGCTCGTTAATGCAAAACTGTTTAAAATAATCAGCCGTGTTCGTCAGATACTGGATCAGTGTATTATATTCCAGCTAGTTCCCGATACACCTAGCACGATCGTAATGTCGATGACAAACCATCCGATCAACTATGGAAAATATTAGACTTTTACGAGTAGTAACGTTACTCGAAACGTCTAACTTACGTTCCAGAACTTATTATGTCATTGTAAAATTTGTCGAAAAATAAATTATTTTTAGAGTTCGGCGTCGTTCAGCTGAGTTCGATATTAGACTTTGTAAAGAATGGCGTATCTACGGTTTCAATGCATTTTTCCCAAAAGTCCAGAGGCAACTTTCATCATTGTGTTGTTGTCACCAAACATAGTTCTAATACCGAGCTGCAGGAAGAAAACTCGTTTTGGACCTCGACACATGCTTGCTATTTATGTTCAACCAATGCTATTTTTATGTTACGGGCTATTCGACTAATATTTTGCTGGGCAGGAACATCTAATGAGGAAGGTTTACAACGGCGAAAGTTTGTATTGCCACGTCGCTTTTAAAGTAACTGGGTCGCAAACGAAATATGGGTCAGCCTTTTTTTAGAAGTAGCGGATGGAAACAACGCTATCCCGTTTCTGCTTGTGCTAGCTCGGTGTTCTAAGGTTTTTTGCTTAATAAACCTTGAACGTTAGTTTCGAATTTATTCTAAGAGCCATTGCCTGCCTATAGGAGGGTCTAATGGGTTAATTAACTAGTCGCATCTTAATCCGTCCATTTCGAAGTTCGAGACTAAAGTTCCAAATATCTACAATTGAAAAAGTGTTTCTGCTGGGGAAATTATTCCCCCTAAAATGTCATTATAAGGGCTGTTTAATGCTCAGTTAGTTATTATCCAACATTATCCCATTTTAAGTGTGGTACGCCAAGCAAACATTATGTACTGAACCCAGAACGGGATTTTACTGTCCGCTAACATATACCCGCCATATGGCCGTAATTGGTCCCTAATGCGCAACAACAAAGATTGCCCACTGCCCATTGTTCTTGGTGTTGAGAGAATACACCCCTCAAAAATACGAAATCAAAAACTTTTAATCATGCATCGAATTGAAAAGAAGTGGTTGCCCTATATTTTGCTAATTCTGTTAAACTAAACCGCATTATATGGTTGTTTAATGAACAACAGGTTCTGATAGACCCATCTTTTTCTCCCATAGGATCATAAAGCGCGGAGTTTTATTGTCTATATTATTATCAACTTCTAGACCTTTTAAGAATCGAAAGCCGTGATATAAGCCGAACTTCCTTGGAGAAGTTAATGCCGAATTTTTTCATATTAAAAACTTGTTACCCGCAACTATGTTTAAGCGTTTCAAATAGCCATAGTTACCATTTTGGCCATACTATACCCCTGTATCAAACAGTATTTCGGTCAAGCGCATTTGGTATAATCTAAAGGCCCATTTATTTAATAAATGATTAAAGCTGGCCCCAGTTTTGAAGAGCTGCAACCTTTTCGTTTGTCGATAAAATCAAGTATTTAGTAAATATTCCGTCCAAAAGCTAGTCTATCTTTTATGTAGTCTGTCTGGTAATAATGTCTGAAATAGCGATGTATAACGCACGCTTGATGCTGATGAAAGAAAGCCGGATTGTTGCTAAGTTATTAGTTACCTGTAGGGATTTTTACGACCAGATACCTAGAAATGTCAAAGGATGAAGAATATTCAATTTAATAGGCCGAGCGATCACGGACTTGATAGCCAGCCGCTGTCAAATATCGCGTTTAACTGGACATGTTTAACAACGTGGAAATTTCATAACGTTAGGAACTTTAAAGAATCTATACCGCATATATTTTTTGTCATAAAATGTATTTAATAGTTAACGCTTTTTATTTTATGTCCTTTTGTGCTGTTACGATACAGCTCAGCTAGAGGATCCACTAACCATAGTCTGTTCACCATTTAATTTTAATTAACAAAAAATAAAAAAAAAAGGTACGCTCTAACATCTTACAGCTGACGCTTATTACAATATTCATCTAGTCCAATTTCCAGATATTATAGACCAGATAAAAGAACGCAGTCCTGGTTTTAT